TCGTTATCGAAAGCTTCTAGTAGATACCCAAAATCCGGCTGATCGACGGGCTCCGACAGATTGAAAATTTCATTCTCAAAGCTCCTAATCACATAATCAAGATCTGTAATGTTCACACCACCCTATGTTGTCCTGTTCTGTTCGGTAAAGATCTCCTTGAGTTTTGTCTTTTGAGGAGCAATCTCGCTATTGATTCTATCTAATTTTTGCAATATATCGTTTCTGATGCTATGCAAGATAGTGTACAACTCTTCAAATTGACTAATTCTTCAGGATCCTTGCTTAGATTATCGCTTGTCAGTATATCAATCAACGTCGATAACTCGAGGGTAAACTCATGAAATTTGTTCGCGACTGATTGTTGCTCAATCAAAATCCATATTTTACTTCCGCTGCATCAATCTTCAATCTGTTAGAAATCAAATAAGCAATAAATCATCCTCCCTTGCCACATAAGCAATAAATCATCCTCCCTTGACCCATGTATGCAATAAATCATCATCCCTGGATCTTACACAAAGCCACAACATTTTCTGCGTTCTTTCATCCCTCCCATTCCTCATCCTTCACAAACTACTACAAATAACACAAAACTTACTTACAATTGCAAGAAAAATCTTCAAAAAAGATTAGGATCTTTAAAAAAATCGTCAGAAAAAATGCAAACCTAAATAACTGGTTTGGGTTAAAATAAAGATCGACGAACTTGAAATTGAAAACCTAAATCAGTGGTCGATGGAGAGACTATCAGTGGTGGCAGACCCAATTCGTCATCGAAAGCTTCTAGTAGATACCCCAAATCCGGCTGATCGACGGGCTCCGACAAATTGAAAATTTCATTCTCAAAGCTCCTAATCACATAATCAAGATCTGTAATGTTCACACCACCCTATGTTGTCCTGTTCTGTTCGGTGAAGATCTCCTTGAGTTTTGTCTTTTGAGGAGCAATCTCGCTATTGATTCTATCTAATTTTTGCAATATATCGTTTCTGATGCTATGCAAGATAGTGTACAACTCTTCAAATTGACTAATTCTTCAGCATCCTTGCTTAGATTATCGCTTGTCAGTATATCAATCAACGTCGATAACTCGAGGGTAAACTCATGAAATTTGTTCGCGACTGATTGTTGCTCAATCAAAATCCATATTTTACTTCCGCTGCATCAATCTTCAATCTGTTAGAAATCAAATAAGCAATAAATCATCCTCCCTTGCCACATAAGCAATAAATCATCCTCCCTTGACCCATGTATGCAATAAATCATCATCCCTGGATCTTACACAAAGCCACAACATTTTCTGCGTTCTTTCATCCCTCCCATTCCTCATCCTTCACAAACTACTACAAATAACACAAAACTTACTTACAATTGCAAGAAAAATCTTCAAAAAAGATTAGGATCTTTAAAAAAATCGTCAGAAAAAATGCAAACCTAAATAACTGGTTTGGGTTAAAATAAAGATCGACGAACTTGAAATTGAAAACCTAAATCAGTGGTCGATGGAGAGACTATCAGTGGTGGCAGACCCAATTCGTCATCGAAAGCTTCTAGTAGATACCCCAAATCCGACTGATCGACGGGCTCCGACAAATTGAAAATTTCATTCTCAAAGCTCCTAATCACATAATCAAGATATGTAATGTTCACACCACCCTATGTTGTCCTGTTCTGTTCGGTGAAGATCTCCTTGAGTTTTGTCTTTTGAGGAGCAATCTCGCTATTGATTCTATCTAATTTTTGCAATATATCGTTTCTGATGCTATGCAAGATAGTGTACAACTCTTCAAATTGACTAATTCTTCAGCATCCTTGCTTAGATTATCGCTTGTCAGTATATCAATCAACGTCGATAACTCGAGGGTAAACTCATGAAATTTGTTCGCGACTGATTGTTGCTCAATCAAAATCCATATTTTACTTCCGCTGCATCAATCTTCAATCTGTTAGAAATCAAATAAGCAATAAATCATCCTCCCTTGCCACATAAGCAATAAATCATCCTCCCTTGACCCATGTATGCAATAAATCATCATCCCTGGATCTTACACAAAGCCACAACATTTTCTGCGTTCTTTCCTCCCTCCCATTCCTCATCCTTCACAAACTACTACAAATAACACAAAACTTACTTACAATTGCAAGAAAAATCTTCAAAAAAGATTAGGATCTTTAAAAAAATCGTCAGAAAAAATGCAAACCTAAATAACTGGTTTGGGTTAAAATAAAGATCGACGAACTTGAAATTGAAAACCTAAATCAGTGGTCGATGGAGAGACTATCAGTGGTGGCAGACCCAATTCGTCATCGAAAGCTTCTAGTAGATACCCCAAATCCGACTGATCGACGGGCTCCGACAAATTGAAAATTTCATTCTCAAAGCTCCTAATCACATAATCAAGATATGTAATGTTCACACCACCCTATGTTGTCCTGTTCTGTTCGGTGAAGATCTCCTTGAGTTTTGTCTTTTGAGGAGCAATCTCGCTATTGATTCTATCTAATTTTTGCAATATATCGTTTCTGATGCTATGCAAGATAGTGTACAACTCTTCAAATTGACTAATTCTTCAGCATCCTTGCTTAGATTATCGCTTGTCAGTATATCAATCAACGTCGATAACTCGAGGGTAAACTCATGAAATTTGTTCGCGACTGATTGTTGCTCAATCAAAATCCATATTTTACTTCCGCTGCATCAATCTTCAATCTGTTAGAAATCAAATACGTATGGCTCAAAATACACCCAGATAGAAAAGGAAGAATGAAGATATACACACTTAGTTTTGGGGACTTTTTCTCTCTGTTGTATTCCAAACAAACGAAAAGTACAATCTATAAATATGAAAGCTTCAAAATAAATAGAATAAAACAAAACTAACTTTCTAAACTAACGGATAGACTTCCCAGTAAAAGCTAACCCACGTTTACCTAATTATATGACACCAAGTCACACTTTATTATCCACTAAAACCTAGTCAACATAAACAAATCAAAACTACCGTTAACCATGCAAACTCATTACTCCTTAATCGACCCGTAACCCATGAACCCATGAACGAAACCCGATTAACCCAACAATCACCCCTTTAATCGGTTTCGTCATACCACTTGTTCACAGCAGTCATTAATCACCAATTCACCATCTTTTCAACTTCATTCTCGACCTTTCCCGGACACCCGACCACCACCTCAGTCATGTCCAAAGTCTTCACCCAATCCTGACTTTTCCCGGACACCCGATCTTCACCTCGGTCACGTCCAAAGTCCTCCATACCCGGCTGTTGTTTGTCACCACACAAAATCCGTTTTCACCTGACACTTCTGTGAAACGAGAGCCTTCTTCCACCGATCAAGAAAACAAAGCCATCTGCTTTTCCCGTCTTCTTTCACCTGCAAAACGAAACAAACCCAAAGCCACCTGCTTTGACGGATCTTTTCTTTTCGTTTTCTCACGCATCTCCAATAACTCTCTCCATTTTCCGGTAACATACCCACAACTTACCGCCGGAATTGCCTTTGAATATCATACTTCTCTTTGATCACAACTAACAGCTACAGACTGTCTGTCTTTAGTCACCCCCGTCGTCTCGAACGGTGTTCCCCGTCTCCTCACAACAATTGTCCACCCGGAAAAAACTTTTCCTTCTCCGTCTTTTGCTGTTAACGAGTCCCAAAATAGCCTCTGTTGTCTTGAACCTTCTTGTGTAATTAGACCTTCATTTTTTTCTGCAATAAAGATCACTGCCAAACACTCCGCTTCCGCTGCAATGGCAGCCCCACACCCGAAGGCTCCTCCCCTTCGAAAGTCGACTCTCAAACCAGCCCTCTTCGACCTTAGGCTCTGATACCAAATGTTAGAAATCAAATACGTATGGCTCAAAATACACCCAGATAGAAAAGGAAGAATAAAGATATACACACTTAGTTTTGGGGACTTTTTCTCTCTGTTGTATTCCAAACAAACGAAAAGTACAATCTATAAATATGAAAGCTTCAAAATAAATAGAATAAAACAAAACTAACTTTCTAAACTAACGGATAGACTTCCCAGTAAAAGCTAACCCACGTTTACCTAATTATATGACACCAAGTCACACTTTATTATCCACTAAAACCTAGTCAACATAAACAAATCAAAACTACCGTTAACCATGCAAACTCATTACTCCTTAATCGACCCGTAACCCATGAACCCATGAACGAAACCCGATTAACCCAACACAATCAACTCTTTCTCTACAAGATAATGTACAACTCTTCAAATCACAACACCACCGGCGTTGATTCTTGTGGGGTAGCTGGAGAGGCGAGAAGAGGTAGATATAAAGACAAAGATCTAGGTTGTAAGTCCAGGACCATATACATGCTTCAAGCTTAATCCATGAGACGGTGACAGGTGTGGTAGTTAATGAGGTGGAGCTGGGTTGCACCATTAGTGGCGGTGAAGAAGATGACTGCATCGATTTTTGAATGAGTTTGATTAAACTTTTAACAAGTAATTATTTCATAAAAGTTAACTGGTACACCTAGGTAGCCATATATCGCCACATCAATGCTGATTCGGTGCCACATGTGCTTCAACTGTATTAATGACATACTATACCGGTTGTTCTAGGTGAAGGTGACTAAAAAACCAGGTCAGCAGCTACTTTATTCCCTCATAAGCCATAAAAAAATTTTAGTAACTAAAAGGGTAAACCTTAAAAAGTTTGTAGGCTATATGTGTCATTTTCCCAATAATCAACACAGATAACTGAATGATTCAATTCATCATTGTATTCATCATGATCTCAATACTTATACATTAAGAGTTCTTATCAAGAAATAAACTAACAATCAGATAAGGCTTAAACTTAAAATACATTTGAATACAATGAGATATGGATAAGATGTATCAGATATACTTCAACAAAAACCAACAAAAAGTGTGCAGGTTTACTTGATTAATTCTTGTTACTTCGAAAACATTTGAGCAGGCTTCAAAGGTGAAGATGAAAATGAAGACGGGAGACAACTACACGGATCATGAAGATGGGATTGATGTCGCGTATGATCATAGTGAAGCAAGCACCCCGAGGGGACATATTTCGTCTCCATTTGGAGATTTTTTTCCCTCCAAGAGCGCAGAAGAGCATTTTACCAGAAAACTCACGATAGATTCTGGATACAAGAGTGAAAACAAACCAGGGATCCACAAGATTTTTTCTTCAAAAGCAGATGCATGGATGGGTAAAAAAACAAGTGCATGGTCACATAAAGGAAACGTAAGAGTAGAGTCTTTTGATACTATTTTTGGTCGGTTTGGTTGGCAACGGTTGGATATCAACCAGGAACACGAGCCTTGTCCACAAATGAGTTCTTATGCTTCCTCAAAACTAGACCTTCAACTATTGGAAAATACCAACAAGAGTAATAACAAAATTGAGGCTTCAGTGTTGTTGTTTTCTTCATTACATGTTAGTAGAAGTACTACAAGTAACTCAAGTAGCTCCAGCAACATTACGAGCATCAAAAGCAATGCCATCATCAAAGTGGAGAGGGAAACTGATAGCTTGGATTGCGAAATCTTGTGGGAGGATTTGATAACAAGAGAACAGATTGGACAAGGTAATAGAAGGGTATTGTAGTCATTTGGAAAACTATCAAACTATACAAGTAATATTATGGAAATCTTGTGGGAGGATTTGATAACGGGAGACCTTTCTTATGGATTCCCACCTCCTTACCCCTATCCCACTTATGCGGGGATAGAATTATACATGTAGTCTTTTATTATTTATGAAATCTTTTGACATTTTATGTTTCACATATATTTTGGCAGGTTCATGTGGGACTGTATATCGTGCATTGTGGTATGGATCAGTATGTTCTCCATCTCTCACTTGATTATATCTCTTGTGGAGATCTCGGTGATTTTGTTTTTCTTTTAGTTGATGCACTACTGAAACTTTGGTGTACAGGTTCATGGTCTGCTGGGTATGCACGTGCATATCCTTTAAAAGGAAAGTCTAGTGTAAGAAAAGTAAAAAAAAAACAATTATTCTACCCCTTGTATAGACAATAGACTAATCTGCCACTACGGGTTTTGTCCTCTTGTGGGATTGAGATTTTAGTATGCTTAAAAGAGTTTTTTTTTTTTTTTTTTTTTTTTTTTTTCTTCGAAAGAGAGTATGCTTAAAAGAGTTACACAGATGCTTTTATATTATTTAAGAAAAGGATGGAAAATGAATGTAAAATGTCAATTTATGTATACAGGATGTTGCGATCAAGTTATTTGAATATCAAGAGTATCCAGATGATTTGATGGTATCATTTAAGCAGGAGGTAACTATTTTCATTAATGCATATAACTTTTCAGCCGTGTGAGTGTTTAAGTTGCATCAAACTATTATGTTTCTTTTTTCAAGATATCTATCATGAAAAAGCTTCGACATCCAAATATTTTGCTCTTCATGGGTTCGGTGACATCAACTCCACATCTATGCATTGTCACAGAGTTCCTTCCCCGGTTGGTTCTTTAATCCAATAAAATTTGCAATGTATCTTTTTTATGAAAACGTATGACAATATGCATAAATAATCTCAGTTGACTATTTGATTAATGTGCATGTATACAGTACTCTTTTATAAATTGACTTATGTTGCGTAGTGGAAGTCTGTTTCGGATACTTCAGCGAAATACAACCCGATTAGATTGGAAACGTTGTCTCCATATGGCCATGGATATTGTAAGTAGCATGCTAATTATCATCTTTTCCATCTTTCTTTTGAGTTGTTTGTCTTATTTGTGATTCTCTCAAGGCACGAGGCATGAATTATCTTCATCATTGCAACCCACCCATTGTTCACCGTGATTTGAAGTCTTCAAATCTTCTTGTGGATAAGAATTGGACAGTGAAGGTATGCTTTGACTACCCTTTATTGTTGTGTGGCATTTTTCTTTGTTTTTATTGCTAATAATATGATCTTTTAGGTTGGTGACTTTGGTCTCTCTCGTGTCAAGCATCACACGTACCTCAAAACAAAGTCGGGGAGAGGAACGGTATTTCAATATTCTTTCTGGATTTAGGTTCCCCTAATTTGTTCCAAAAATAACAATGAAGAAGCCTTTTGTTGGTTTCATCTTTTTTTTCTTGAACCAAGAAAATGGGACTCACAAAATGAAATTTTATCAACGGCATAGAGTTTTGTTTATATTAGTACATGAAGAGCACAATTAACACAAAATACAATTCAAATTTGAGGTTAAAGGGGCTATATTTGACTTCAGAAAACAAGATGTTGGCTTGACTGATTTCTTGTTCCTTTTTGTAGCCTCAATGGATGGCTCCGGAGATCCTACGTAACGAGGACGCAGATGAAAAGTAAGTCTGTGTATGAGGAAAAAGAATTTTTTTTCATGAATTTTGGAATCCAATATTTGGTTTGTTTGTTGGCAATCTTTAGGTCTGATGTATACAGCTATGGTGTGGTATTGTGGGAAATTACCACCGGGAAGATCCCTTGGAATGATCTTAATCCGATGCAGGTATGCTATTCTCAAGTATGAAATTCATTATTTTTTGCTTCAACTTTCAAGACCAAACACAACATATTCTAAAAGCACAAAATATACATAAATGGTATAAATTTGATATTCAATATTTTTTGCTTCAACTTTCAAGGCCAAACACTATATTTTGCCTTAAGAAAGAGTAAAGTTTCAAATCAAGCTTGATGTTTAAGGTTGTTTCGCTGGCTTCATCAAAGTCAATGTCCATCTCTTTGCTTCTTGAGGTCCCAAAAGGGAGAAATGCAAACTACAGTTTTACGTATGATACTTGTAGGTTATTGGAGCCGTAGGGTTCATGAATCGACGACTGGAGATTCCAAAAGATGTTGATCCACTGTGGGCTTTTCTAATCGAAAGTTGTTGGTGCAGGTTGGTCTCTTTCTGATGAAAATGTTAGAATAATATTGACATGTTTAAAATATCTTTTACAATTGATGGGGGATCGATTTTCTTTTCTATGGTCAGTGAACCACAATCCCGGCCAACATTCCAAGAAATACTAAATAAGCTTAAAGATTTGCAAAAGAAGTATGTGGTTGAACGCAGGAGAAAGGAACCGTAAAACATTCCAAGAAATACTAAATAAACTTAAAGATTCCACATGTGCTATAGACGAAAGAGCTTCGCAATGGAGGATAAAGTCATACCTGGGGTGGACAAAAAGAAACAACTCACAGAAGAGTAGGGGCTTGTCCTTGAAAGAAGGACAAAGAAGCATCGAAATAAAGTAATCAAGTTGGTATTAGTGAAGTGGAAGCAAAATTATTTTGGGGTGAGTCTTACGTAGGAGACGGATAACGAATTAATGTTAGAGAAATTCCCCCATTCGTTTTTGCACAAAGAGATTTCACAACAAAATCCTCCTAAAGGGAGGAAGAGTGTATACCAACGAATTTCCATAGTTATGAGTGTATAATAACTTAGGGGTTTTTAGGTTTGTTTGAGTTTACGTATCCAAAATATCCGAAACCGAAAAAATAAACCTAAAAACCGAAAAATCGTAATGATTTTCAGGTTAACCAAACCGCTAAAATATTCGGTTTTTCCGTTCGGTTACGGTTCATATATATATATATATATATATATATATATATATATATATATATATATATATATATATATATATTGTCATGGATTGTTAAGAAAAAACCTCGAATTTTTATCCTTTTAATTTATAATACAATGTTTAGTTTTGATTTATTGTTATATGTTGTAGAAATTACTAGCTATTACTCCTGTAAGGAAACTGCAACTGTAATTGCTAAATTTGCTATTAAATTTTAACATCTTCATAAATTCAAAAAGGTTATAATGAACTTACAATGTGTGCTCCTTATTTCGGAAGGGCGAGTGACCTTTTGTAAAGGACATCTCCGCATAATTTCCATTTTAATCTTTATACATCTACAGTAAGACATAATTTTAATCTTTATACATCTACAGGAAGACATAAGTATATTATGTATGGGAGATAATTTCCCATTACCCTATTAGGATATATAATTTTAGGTTTATAAGTTTATTATATAACTAGGATTTTACCTGCCGCAGCAGTCATAGACTTAAGAAAAGAAACACTTCAGTAGCAAAATAAAACTTAAGGACTTAAGTTACCAAAACACAAAAGTTAGGGACCAAATCCATGTTTAGAAACTTAAAAGAACTTAAGTTGCCAAAGCATAAAAGTCAGGTCCAAAGTCATGTCAAGCAAAATGCTTAAAAATAAGCACGAAAACGTAAAAAATATTTACGTTGAAACCGAGATAAACTCGAAGCACGAAAACGTAAAAATAAAATTAAAAGTCGACGGGTTCAAAGTGACATTTTACAAAGTCGAGGGGTGGTAACTGGGGGTGAAACACGAAAGTTTACATAACAGAGTGGGTTAAAGTGACATTTTAGAAAATTCAAAGTTTAAGGAATAAAAACAACATATTAAAAGTAGATGGTGGAAATACAAAGGGTGAAGATGACAAATTTTAAAAAGTACAAAGTTATCAGGAGTAGAAGCATCTTTTTAAAAAGTATAGGTGTAAAAGCATCATTTTCCAAAATAAGGGGTGGAGTATGTAGATGGATACAAAGGGATGTAATATGAAGATGGATACAAAGTATAAGGGTGAACCAAAGTCGGTGCATAACTCCACTCACTTTGGTATTTAGAATTACATCGACTTTGAATAAACGAAAGATTACTGAGAATCTAATGTAGGAGCAACAATCAATCTAAAAGATTATTTTTATTTTGGGTAAATTACACCAATCGTCTCTCGTGCATCAGGTGTCAAAATGCACGTTTATTTCTTATTTTCAAAAATTAACCCAGACAGTCTCTCGTTTGTTTAAAACTTTGGCGCTTCATGCATGATAATCACTTTTGTTGCAATTTTAGTCTGCGTCATATCTAAAATGACCATAATGCCCTTTATGTATTTTTTTTCCAATTAATTTTTTGTTAATATTATTAACAATTAAAAAGAAAAAAAAAAGAGATATTCTTTACTGTTCCTCTTCTCTAAACTCTTCAAAAACCCTAAAATCACTCCTCCTTAAGCCACCATCGATGGATACTCTCTCCAACAAACCCTCTCTCCAGCCTACAGCCGATATCAGATCTCCTTCGTCTTTCTGAGTCTGGAAACGACGCCGAAAATGAAGGTAGGTTTTGTTGGAGGAAACTAGGGTTTTGACGTCATCAGATTTGATAATTCGTTTTTAATTTAGAGATCTCAGAATTTTAACATTACATTCTCACCTCAAACGAAAGGATTCTGATTGTTTCTGGCGTTTTGTTGCTGATTTCTTTCTTGTTATTAGCTGATGGTTTCGAAGATGATTCCAAGAGGAGAGTGTGCTTGAGATTCAAAATCATTTGATTCCCCTATCCTCAATAACCAAGGTGTCACACCCCCGGACCAGACGGCGGAAACGTCCGGAGGCGGGTGACTTCATTGTGCAGTATCATAACAATTGAATATAAATGAAACAGAGCAATCCAAACATCATACATTGAGATAACAAACTTATATTGTTTACATATTGTATTTGTCATTCGAATTACAAAAGAGACATAAGCAGAAAATCCAAACTACAGCTAGATAGTCTTGCATCCGCGTCCCTTGTTACCTGCTTACTAGATCCCTGAGAATACAAGTCATTTTGAAAACCGTCAACTAAACAGTTGGTGAGTTCATAAGCATTTTTGTATAAAATCGTTTACACTTGTTTAGAATCGTTCTCATTGTACTTTCGGAAAATCCGATATTTTCTATGAAATCGTTTGAAGCCTTGCTTTGAAAATCATGGATATATGTGTGCATGTCATTACTTTTGTTCATCCTTATAAGGAATGATTTTGAAAAGTAGTGAAATTTATAAAGCGAGTTGTATCCGAGAATAGTTCTTTAGTGTAACATCCGGGAAATTGGGTATATCTATTTAACCCTTCCTTCTTTCTAAGTTGTCTTGTTTAGCCCTTAAAAGTAGATTGTGGCAAATGAGTACGCTGGGCGTACTGAAGAGTACGCTGCGCGTACTCATGGGCGTGTTCTGGACGCGGACTCCACCCCGTACGTTGGGCGTACCTTAGGCTACGCTGGGCGTAGCGGGTCCATACTCAAAACCCTAAATGAGACTTGAGCCCTATATAAAGAAAGCTATGGCCTTATCCTCAGCCACCATTTGAGAGAGTGAAACCCTAAGAGAGAGCCAACCTTCGTTCTAAGCTTGTGTGTGAGTGTTCTTGAGCAAAAAGTGCATTTGTGTGTTAGTGAAGAAGAAGAGGAGGTTCTTGTGAAGGCTAGAAGTTGGAGTGCAAGCTTGGATCTGAGTTCTACAGAGGGAGGAGCTTCACTTGGAGGTAAAAATCTCTGAGCTTTCCTTGTTATTGTTGATTTGTGCTTCATGGACCAATTTTTAGGGTTTTTGGTCCCAAGGTGGAGACTTTATGAGCAAAAGGTCTCCATAAGCTTAGATCTTCTATATTTCAGAGTATTGTGAGTTGAGGGTTCATAAAAATCCAATCTTGGACGTGAATATTAAGCCATGCATGAGATCTAGGCCTTATGAGGGAAGATGAAAGGTGTTAGAGTGATTAAGTGACCTTTACAGCCATGCAAAGGCTTAAAGGTTTCAACTTTATGGATTAAGTGGCCTTAGAGAAGCCAGATCTGAAGTTTGAGTATATGTCTTAACCATTTAAGACCCAAAATCAAAAGGAGTATGAAACTGGGAGTTACGCGGGGCGTAATCCCAGTACGCGCAGCGTAGGGGGTCGCGTTCCCCGATTCTGTGAAGTCGCCGGGTACGCCCAACGTACAGATTTGGTACGCGCAGCGTAACCCGGAGGGTTGACTTTTGTTGACTTTTAGGGTTTAGTCAATGATTGGATCTTTGAGCCATAAGAGGGGTAAAATGGTCTTTTACCCTTCAGAGAGAACTTAGAGTGGGATTAGTCTAGCCTTTGAGAGTTGTATTGATTAGAGTAATTGTTCCATGTGATTAGGCGGAGGCTAGACCAGTATTACCGAGTTCGAGATTTACTGAGTTACCCGAGGTGAGTATTCTCACTATACTTTACCTAGAGTGGTAATTAGAGTTATATGACAGAGTATCTTGTATGCTATTTATGTGATTGTGATGCACTGCATTATTTCTATGTGATTTATGCTGTGTATGTTCCAGAGTTTACAGAGTTGGAACCGGAAGGTTCACAGAGTTAGGACCAGAGGGTCCACAGAGTTAGGACTAGAGGGTCCACAGAGTTAGGACCAGAGGGTCCACAGAGTTATAGCCTCGAGTGGCTAATATGTGTTATATGTGGTATTTTGGGGAACTCACTAAGCTTCGTGCTTACCGTGTTATGTGTTTTGTGTTTCAGGTTTCTTCAGAATCGCGGAACGACATTGGCATGATTGTACACAACAGAGAGAGAATTATGTTTCGAAGATTGATTAATAAGTAACTAACGAGGGATTGTGTTTTGTAAAATAAATAAACGAGTTTTATGAAATGTGATGTGAAGGTTATATGATTTAAAAATCAAAAATTTGTTTTGAAATTTACGCTGTTACAAGTTGGTATCAGAGCCTTGGTTTGAGGGATTCAGATGCACCTTCGGGTAAATCTGGACTCAAACTGAGGATTTGAGAGAGAATTTTCAAAAGAAATGATTTTTCTAAAAACGAGCAAGAGTTTCTAAGAGAAAACGAGAAAGAGAAAGTGTGTACAATCAGCCAGAGCCCGAACGGTGATTTCCCAAAATACCTTTACTTTTGTGTTATGAGATATTTTATGAGATATTATGCATGCTAGAGATAGGCTAGGTAATTCATAATTTAGGACTAGAGTGGCCTGATTTGTGATGCCTTAGCCTAGGAAATTGATGTTATCTGTGATGCACCTTCGAGTATGTGCTGAGTAGGAGTATCCAGCGGGAATCCTTGTAGAGAAGGATTTGAGTAGAGGAGTAATCTAGGAGAGATGCCTAGATGAGCATTGTGGAGCCTAATCGAGAGAGTAGCTAGATACCCTCGAGGGGTAGAGTTACAGAGTTTGGTGATATCTTTGAGTATGAGCAGAGCAAGTGGAGTTATCACCTAGAGTAAGTTCTACGTATTTATTTGATGCCCGAATGCTGCTTGCTTTGTGCTTTGTGGAACTCTCGATGATGGGAGTCAGCTACTA